GATGGACACAGGGAAGAGGTGACTATTGGGAGGAAGTGGGAGGGGAGCTGTTGCATTGGGGTAAATTGTAGTCAATGTCATGAGAGAACATGTGTGTGAACTGCTGTATGGAAAGTGAATTTGCTCTGTGTGTTAGTTCAGTTGATGTGTCAACTTGGCTGAGCCTGGTTGAGTGGCTGGACAGCCGGATGTAGTATTCCCCAATCAACTCCATGATGGAATCTACTATGAGCAGCTGAGTAGCTGCCTTAGAGAATGTGGTCTGCTTCCTATATATAAGGAGAAGCCTTGGGGAATGGTCTCTAGCTTATGGCACCTTGAACCCTGCATGTAGCTGTGTCGTTCAGCATCCTGCCATGCTCTGCTGATCTTGGGACTTAACAATAGACTTGAATTAATGGCCTGCCATGTGATTTGGTAATATCGGGACTGTGCCTTTTTACTTGTCAACCTTGGGCTTGGTAGCCTCAGCAGCCACTAGCTGTCTGAGTGAAGAAAAGCCTCTAGCTTCTGTGGGCCGAGAGCCGTAGGCAGAGCTGAAGCCTGAGGTGAGGGGCTTTCACCCAGCCCGTAGAGCATGACAATTTGAACTTGGACTTAAAGCCTCCAAACTATAAGAGAATAAACTCCTGTTTGTTAAGGCCATCACATTCGTGATATATTTGTGTCAGAGCAGCACTAGCTAACCAGAACACTCTGTAAACACTCACCCAAATCACAATAAAAATTTTAAAAAACTCCTTTTTTATGCAAGATCTCCAACCCAATCCTGAGAAAGGGCCTGCCAATCCATATAAACCGTTAGAACAAACAGTGAGTCTGCCAGCCCGTATAAACCATTAGAACAAATAGTGAGAAATATCTACTCTCTTAGGCAAAGTCAGCACCCAAGTCAGCCTAAGGAAGCTACAGAAAAAGAGACCTCCACCCATGTTCTCCATAAAGACATATGAGTATGAAATCTCTCTGGAGGAGTCAAAGAAGCAGAGGATCAGATTAGTCAGGTCACACAGGTGCCTGACTAAATACTCTTGGAATTTAAGCCTATGTGCAGACCACCATATAATTCTTGCTACTGGCTGGTACTAGAAAACTGCTTGCAGTTAGCAAACCAGGCTGTTAGGCAAAAATAAGAGATTACATTTCAAAAGGCCCCATAAAGCTTGACCAGTCGTAAAATGCTGATAAACCTCCAAAGCTGCCCTGTAAATTTCTTACCAGAAATTTACAGAGCCTTATTCCTGCCTAAACCCTTTATAAGCCCTAGGAAATCCTTTTGTTCAGTGAGAGATCAGAGGCTCGTGTAGGCGAAATCTGCTCTCCATCTCTCCCTTGTGAGCCTGTCCCCTCTCCTTTCTCTTTAATAAACTTTGGTTCGTGTGGACATTTTGCTTCCCCTGCTGAATTCTTTGTCAGTAGGAGGCAAGGACCCCTGCTCAGGGTCTCAAGGACCCCAGAAACATACTCACCTGGAGCAACAGAGGAAAAAGGAGAGTCAGAAATAGAAGGAGGATATGGAATGTGTGGCTAATTGCCTCCATGAACAACTGCCCCCTGTGTCATGAGACCACAGGACTGGATGGTGTCTGACTACAATTACTGAACATTTTGATCAAAGATTCCATAGAAAAATCTTGATCAAAAAGGGGGGAATGCAGACCAGAATTTCTAATTTTCATGGACTCCAGACTTCATGGAGCCGTAGAGGCTAGATGAATCCCCGAAACTATTGATAATCTTTAAATATTAAACCAAAAATATCCCCTGAAGATCTTAAAAGGTTGCAAGCAGCCATATAGATGCAATGATGGGTCTCTCCTTGACCAGAGCAAAGAAGAATGAAGAAAACCAAAGATTCATGGAAAGAATTAGTCCTAGAGACTGGTACACCATGCGATCCGCAGCCTATATGACTATGAGACTAGAAGAACTAGATGGTGCACGGCTACCACTGTCATCCACTCACAGGGGGATCTATGTAGGAGATTCTGGATAGAGAGGGAGAACAATATGGAACAAAACTCAAAATCATTTGGAAAAAAAAAGTGGGGGAGACCAGGTTTGCTGGTCTGATAGACTCTGTGGTGGAACCACTGAGACTATGGCCCCTTGATGCCCTTCAGGTCTGGAATTGAACACACACCTGTGGCTTCCAGCCAAACAAAAGACAGGCATAAGAGTTGAACATTTACCTGAGGTAGATACACTCCTTGGAGAGAACAATCATGGGAGAAGGAAGGGCTGTTTATGCACAGGGAGACAGCACAGGG